GTTGAGGCACTGTGACAAGAGAAGCTGCTGCAACTGTCACATGTCCCACAGTCCAAGGAAGGGACAGTCTGACCCTTGCCTATGCTAACAGCTGCTTCTCTTTTATATCCTGTCTGTCCATTAATGCATCCATGTGAACATCTGTGTCCTCTCCTGCCCTTTATTATCAGATCATAACTCTTTGTTCCCAAGCCAGCTTGCCAGCCATTCGGTATCTATCACTTGCTGGAGTGTTTTGCCTCCTTCAGGTAAAGAGGACTTCTCAATGACTCTGTTTTAGGGTATTCAGTGCTACTTCTACAAGCTGAGCAGATACAGATCCCTTGTTACTCAGCAACCCTTGTGTATATTTTCTTGCATACATAGGTTGTGCAATCATGTTATGGGCTCCTGTATGTGGCTGTAGCCTGAATCCTGGGCTGATGTCTGCTGAGGGACTGCTCGTCCCCTCCTGCACTGAATCATCTTCATTTTGCTTCTCTTTTTGTCAGGAGACTACTGACCCTGTCTGATTTTGCTGTCCTTTCTCTCACACACTTGCCTTCCCTTCCTTCTCCATCTTGTTTATCAGTCACTGCACAAGCTGAGAGCCAAAGATATTTAGTTTTGAGCTACTGACCTGTAAAGTCTAAAAAATATGGTTAAAAGTCCTTTATACACCGAATTGTCTCTTCTACCTATATTGTGCCTCTTTGGCTTTGCTGAAAACACTCAGGTACTCACATCTTCCCATGTTCACTTTGGCTGCTGGAAGTTTATTTGGTTTCATAGAGCTTGTGTCTGGGGAGGCTAGATGTTGGTACTGCTTGAATTTATATAGCTTATCAGAAGGTTTTGTTCTTGAATTGCTATTTCATATACCCAACTGTTTTCCTCAACCACAGCTATATGTGGGAGCTGTCTTTGGTGGGAAGAGCATGGGTCATGAGAGCTCTGGGTCACTTTGGAGAAGTCCTTCACCTTTCTGCCTTTTATGCTGCTGTCAAGCATACTGGAGGCTTTCACCCTGGTCCCCCAGTCACCTGTGTGGCTGCATCCAGCATCCAGTGCAACGTGGAGATGAGTAGCTGAAAAGGCTCATTTCTTTAGAGCCCACTCCTTCCCCAGCCTCTGATTCAGCCAATATTCTTAATTTCTCTGCATTTTCTTGTCTCATTAAAAAAAAATCAAGAAAAATTAGCTTAAATCAGACTGTAAATATTGCCTTTCTTGTATTAACCCTATGGAACAGCCTTTGACACTATTTCCCACAGCATTCTCCTGGAGAAACTGGCTGCTCTTGGCTTGATGGGTGTACTGTTTGCTTGATAAAAAAATGGCTGGATGGCAAGACCCAAACAGTGGCGGATGAATGGAGTTAAATCCAGCTGATGGCCAGTCACAAGTGGTGCTCCCCAGGGCTCAGTACTGGGGACAGTTCTTGTTTAATGTCTTTATCAATGATCTGGATGAGGGGATTGAGAGCACCTTCAGACAGTTTGCAAGTGACACCAAGTTGGACAGGACTGTTGATCTGATTGAGGTTGGAAAGGCTCTGCAGAGGTCTCAGGTCAGGCCAGACTGATGGGCTGAAGATAGCTGTATGAGATTCAACAAGGCAAAATGATGAGTCCTGCTCTTGTGTCGCAACAACCCCATGGAATGCTCTAGTCTTGGGGAAGAATGGCTGGAAAGTTGCTCAGTGGAAAAGGACCTGGGGGTGCTGACTGACAGAGCTGAATGTGACCCAGCTTGTGCCCAGGCAGCCAAGAAGGCCAACAGCATACTGGCCCATATCAACAATAGTGTGGCCAGCAGAGCCAGGGCAGTGATCATCCCTCTGTACTGGGCGGTGGTGAGGCTGCACCTCGAATCCTGTGATCAGTTCTGGCCCACTCACTACAAACCAGATATTGAGGTGCTGGATCTGGTCCAGAGAAGGGTAATGAAGCTGGTGAAGGGTCTGGAGCACAAGTGTGATGAGGAGAGAAGTCTGGAGAAGAGAAGGCTCAGGGGGGACATTATTGCTCTCTACAACTATCTGAAAGGAGGATGAAATGAGCTGCAAATTGGTCTGTTCTCCCAAGAAACAAGTGATAAGACAAGAGGAAACAGCCTCAGGTTGTGCCAGGGAAGGTTTACATGGGATGTTAGGAAAAATGTCTTTCCCAAAGGAGTTGTCAAGCACTGGAACAGGCTGCCCAGGGAAGTGGTGGAATCACCATCCCTGAAGGTATTTAAAAGACTTGTAGATGTGATGTTCAGGGACATGGTTTAGTGGTGGACTTGGCAGTGTTATGTTAACGGTTGGGCTTGATGATCTTAAAGATCTTTTCCAACCTAAACCATTCTACGATTCTGTGAATGCTTGTAACTGTGGAAATGTTACGGTATGAACTTCTCATGTAAAGTGTCACCTAGTGGCTGGTTGGAAGTTTTGCATCCCGGCTTTAAGAATCAGTATGATCATATAAGCCATAAAAGCCAAAGACCAATTCCTGTGCACAATAACTGATGAAGGGTATTTCATATTCTGTCGCTCTGCTTAAAATTCCTTTTTAATGTGTTTCATTTAAGCCCTAAAACTTGCACTGAACCACTGCATTCTTGGGCTGGGAATACGTTACTCCAGCCGAAGTCTTTCCTGTTCTGATGAGTAAATTAGTAATTAATTGCTTAAAAAGCTAATTGCCAGTGATCCCAGCAGTGAAATTTTGCCTGGACAAAATCATTAGGCTTTGTTTATTCTAATAAGTTCCTTGTGCATCTGTGGGGTGGCTTCAGGCAGAACCCTTGTGACAGAAAGATGATTGTGCATCTGGGTATGCGGTCAGTTCAGAGCTACTGAAAAATGTGTCTTACATAACACATATGAAAAAGATTAGCAGTTTCAGAGTCATCACCATCTATAGTTCTAAAGGATATTACAAAGGAAGTTAATTAATAGAATATACTTGCAGCATGGGCCAGGAAACATAAAACGAGCTCTTCCACTTATGTAAAATTGTGCAGTTTACGAGCTCCAGAGAGGTTACATGAATGGAAAAATGAAATACGCATTTTCACATCAGTAGAAGTCATCCATGCTCCTGCATTTTGGGGGGGTTGTTTCTTGCTTTAATTTTCTGGGTGGCCATTTAAAGTTATGTAGGAACTTTCTTTCAAAAGAACTGAGCACCTGTGTGTAAGGAAGATATACAGGAACAGCAAAGGCTCAGCATCTCTGAAAATGAGGCTGGACATGCTGGCTTGGGCACTCAAAATTGGCCACCAGATTTGAAAATTTGGCTGTTTTGCCTGGGTCACTCAGTGACCCAAGGGTCCCAGGCTGGAGGAGAGCGTGGAGCTGCTGATTCTCAAGTTTTGCCCATGGAATCATGAACTTCATTAGCTGAGATACATAGGCAACACTGTTGAGTGATTTTATTTGTGACACCTTTGGCTTCCCTTCTGCTGCTGTCACACACTGCTGTAAACACCTAATGTCTGGGTGTGAAGCTGATTAACCACAGGATATACCAGAGGCTAATGATGAAGAATTTTATAGGAATAGCCAGTAAAAATTTTGGTGATTACTTTCCTCTAAACCTCTATGCACAGATTTTTTGCTAGGAAAATGTTGCCTATTGCAACCTATTTAATTTCCAACCCAGATAGTGATGAAGTGAACACTAGAAGATGGGCCTTGACCTGCTCTGTGCAAGGGAGAGGTGCATGATGTCATGGTGTAGCTAAAATGTAGGTCTTTCCAGGCTAATTACATTTTCCAGAGCCTTACAGTTCGAAGATGCAGCTGCACAATGGAGTGGCTTTAGTTAGAAACTACATGAAAAAAGGATCAGCTCTCAGCAAAGACTGGTGGACTGGTAAGATATTAGTAGGAAAGGGGGGCTTTTTAGCCTCTGCCCTATCAAGCTACACAGTAGGGAAGGAGGGATATTACAGCAGGTAAAAGGTACCTCTAAACAAAGCTCAAAGTTGTATGTGTTTAATATTGCAAGGTAGTTAAAAGAAGTGTTTCTTAATGCCAGTATAAAATATGGGACAGGTCCCAAGGGAAGCTCAGTTCATAGAATCCCAAGATCATAGAGTCATAGAAAGGTTTGGGTTGAAAGGGACCTTAAAGATCATCTAGTTCCAACCACCCTGCCATGGGGGGACATCTTCCCCTAGACCTTCTGAGGGCTTACGAATCTTGACTCTGTCTCTTTAAATGTGATTGTTAGTAGACACTTAAATGAAAGAAGCTTTCACCAGAGAGAAAAGTGGTGAACTACACCGGTAAATAATTTGCCTTGGCAAATAATATGTAAGTCACTGATGTGAACCTTAATTCTGCTCAGCATTATCATTTGCTTTGTAAATAGAAGTGCTTATCCAAACAGCTGAGCTTTCTGTTGTTGATGAAAATGGGAAAATGTGGAGCAGAGGGAACATGTCACTTCCCTTCCTTTCTGGAAGTCTGTGGTTTCCAGCTATTCAGATAAAGCTGCTTGTGCTTCCACCAGTCCAAGCCTTGCACTGCCACAGAAGCACGGGAGAACAGCATTGAAAAATACCCCCCTGCTCTGAAGGTGTCCCCAGTTTGGGGGAAACTCTGCCCTGCAACACAGCTGAAAACTTCAGGAGCACCCATGGAGAATGAGACGGGTGCCCAAGCTCCCCAGACCCACAGGGAACACTGATCCCATCACACTGCAGCATTTGGTGACGTTTGAAGGTGGCATCGGGGTATTTTAATTTCTCAGCCCCGAGTGAGCTTCAACCTCTCCACTTTTTCTTCTCTGAGCCAGATGGAGATGCATTTGGTTTCTCTTTTAACCATGTTGCTTTTGCGAGGAGAATAAAATGAGCAGGAACAGCTCTTGGCCGCAGCAACACAAGACAGCCCTGCTTTGCCAGAGGAAACCACATAAAAGCGTGTGTGTGAGTGCGTGTGTGTGTGTTTGGGGGAGGGCGCAGCGAGGGATGATGCCTGGAGCTTCTCGCACTCGGAGCTGCGATTTGTGAGTGAAACATGATGAAATCACCCCCTGGACAAATCACACGAGCCTGTCAACCTCACCAGGTGGGATTACTTGTAGCTAATAGCCCCAACTCCCCGAGCAAACAGAGCTCTGCGCTCCCCGTAAGGAAAAGGCGAGGGTGCGCGCAGGCTTTTCAAGCAGGCTCTGGCATGGCTGGGGAGGGCTGCGTCCGCCCGCGCCAGGTAGGGAGGAGAGCAGCGTGTTTGCTTTCAGAGGAGGAGTAGCCCGGCTCTTCTGAATAAGTTCCTACAAAAAGGAGCGTTTCAGCCTCAGCAAGAGATGTTTTATTCATAAAGCCCTCCTGGTTCGTGTTACTCTCCAAGGGTGACGCTGTCAGCTGCTGCTCCAGTGATGGGAACTGCAGTGCTGGGGAGCTCCAATGTACAGAGGACCATCTCTGCCCCTTTAACCGTAGCGCTCCTAGCGCGCAAGCACTGCGCTTTGCACTGTTTGCTTACTTTGCTGTTTTACTTTTGCAGGTTATATCTTTATTTGCTTTTGCCTTTGGAGTAAATGTCTGCATGGGATTTACAGCAAATCGATTTAGGAGATCTGAAGAATGGGATGAGGGCCCGGTCTCAGGTACAGTAACGGACATAAATTGTACATCGCAATACCCTTATGTTACATAGTGTGATTAGAAACCACTCCTACTCCGAAACAGTAGTTTGCTTGTTCCTTTTCCCTCTAGGATATAGAGGAGAAGAAATAACTCGTCGAGCCTGAGTCAGTTGACCTTTGGGACTCACCTATAGGTCTCCTATTTACTTAAACTTTTGCTCTGTGTGCATGTGACTATGGAAAATCTGGCTTATTTTAGGACTGAGCACTGTCAGTCTCTCAGAGTCCGCTCGCATAGCTCGTCTGCAGCATTTGTCATGTTCTGTGCTCCACACGCTTTCCCTCAAGAGCTAAGAGGAGCTCCCCGGTGGGTTTGAGAGTCCTGGTTTTATTTTGGTAGCTATTGAAGCGGTTTCTAGAAACTTGATGAATGCTTTCGAGAGGCGCTGCCGAGAAACGCTTCTGGGATTTCTGCGGCTCCTGAGGTCATGCTGGTTTGCGAACAGCAGACGGCAGACATCTGACGGCGGGGAGGGCCGGGCAGAGGAGAGCAGGTGTTCACCCAGATGTGCCGTCACTGAGTCCTCTGGTTTTGTTCTGCCGCCTCCCTTTTTCTTTGGAGGAAAGCAAGAACACGCCACAGGAAAGACTGTTGTTTGTGTTCTGGGGCAGTACAGGGGTTTGTGAGCTCAGGCAGAGTACGAATGGAAAAGTATATGAAATGGAAAACTAGTCTTTTTTTTTTTTTTTAAAGAGAAAGTAGCCTTGACTTGTGTGTCTTCCTTTGGCAGGAAAAATGAAACCTGTGGTCGTTGACTTAGAGCTGGTTAATATAACTGAAGTGAAAGGGTTTCATTTGCAATGCCTGTGTGTAAGGATAGCTTGTGAATTTTAATTACAAAATTGTTTATCGTGGCCTAAGTTTGTTGTGTTCTTGGTAATGTATCTGTGTCCTCCTCTCCCTCCCTCCTCTTTCATGGGAATTGGTTTTTAATGACAGACACAGTCAGGGCTGCTGATCACTGGGCAAAGGCATTTTAGATAATCAGAAAGATAGGGGGCATTGTTTTGATCTTTATATAACAGTAAAAAAAATTCTTGAACACCACATATATTTCTGGTTTTATCTTCTACGGTAGTTGCATAGTGTGTGTAATAGTGACGTGAAGGATCTGCATTTCATGTCTTCAATACCTGACTGCCAGTTTCTTTGCTGTCACTGGTGACCATCTAGGCTTTAGTGCAGGGCTGCTCAGCTGGTTTGTACTGAAGTCCCAAAGTCTGTTACTGGTGACCCATTGCAGCTGGTCAATGCCAACTCTGCTGAGCCAACCAGCACTGTTCAACAGTGTCCCTGTCCATGGCAGGGGGTTGGAACTAAGTGATCTCTAAGGTCCCTAACAACCCAAACCATTCTGACCCTGTGCCACCACCACCGCTGGGATCAGTAGCTGTGTGCTGTTTCCAATAGCACAAGTTTTAGCTCAGCATTCCAGAAAAATAGGAAGCAATAATACAGAATCTCTTGCAAGAGGGCAGGAGATGGGGTACTTTTGGCACTCTATGGAGAATTTGCTGATAGGTTGGACTGGACCACCACACGGCACTGAAGTAGTCCAGTCTAGGGTGCAACAATGAGAGACAGAAGAGTGGTGGAGGGTTTTGTCCCTTCTGTGTCTATGCAGCTTGGTTGTTACAGTAACATCTGTCTAAAGGAGAAAGTAAAAAGTGACACTGGAGACGTGCTTTTCTTAACAAATTAAAAGCACAGCAATCAAAGAAGCTATTTGGGCTCTCCTAATTGCATGACTTCCAGTTATGTTTTGTCAGAAGTCCAGTGCAATGAAATATCCAGAACAAAAGATTGGTATAAATTCCTTTGCAATGTCACTCTGCCTTGGCTTATTTATTCCAAGTTTCTTGGTATTGTTAGTTAATTGTTGTAGATTGACAAAACGCTCTTTACCAACCATTACTGTGTAGACCAATTATTTCTGCAGAGGTATGTCATGATTGTAAGCAAATTTCAGTTTTCATCTAGCATAGACCTCCTTTATGAGTCAAAACCAACATGGGTTTTTTCCTAGTGCCATAAAAATGTGTGTCAAAGAAGTACCATAGTGCCTAAATGTCCCTTCTTGTTCTCTTTTTACTGTGTAGAGGTATATAAGCCCTTATACATTTTTGAGATATTTAATATTTGTACCCAGGAAATTGTGCCATCAAAATAGTTTTTTGACTTAAAATTTTTCATAACTTTGAGTTATTTGCTTTATGCACTTCCTAGAAATCTTCGTAAGCACTTGCAGGGTAAATGGTTTTAGTTTCCTCAGGCATGTTCCTTGTTCATGAGAGGATAATAGCTTAAAATTTGGAAGGAGAAACACTGAAGTTTTTCTATCCCTTCTCACTGGGTTTTTAAGCATATTGTTAGGAATGGAGTATTATTTCTTGTATTATAACAGTTAGGATATATTTTTTTCCTTCATGTGACTTCTCATTGAAATTTTACTCGTTGCAATGGCATTCCCAAAAATGAAATGCAAGCTCATGAGTATGACCTAGCAAAACCAGTGTTACAGTTGTTTTGTATAGGTATTTGGTTGGTCCATACAGGATCCAAAATGTCACTCTTGCAAGGTAGTCTCCTTCTCGCAATGACTGTGTAAGCATGTCTATATTGTGCAGTTCTAGCACTGAAATACTATTGGAAGTAAATGGATTTATTTTATTTTTTTTTTTTTTTAATATTGTAGTTGGACAGAATCAGAGCAAGTAGTTGGATATGGCACTTTACAATAGTAACATAATAACCTCCATGGACTGAATCAGGAAGGCACTACTGCCCTAAGTAACTTCTCTTTCTAACCAATGAGATGAGGCAATCCCTAGATGGTTGTTCTGAGCTCAGCTGGCCAAAAAAAGACTGCATGGAAAAGGATATGAAGAGCTTTATGTATTAAATGAGAAGGGGAGGATCTTCATGTTGAGGTCGTGCTGCGTGGTCTGATTGCAGGAGCTGTGGAGGGATGCAGGCATTTTGAAAAGGACCTTGAAATTGTACAGGATTGTTCTGTACAGGGGTTTCTGTTAATCTGAAAACGTTCACCAGGGCTGGAACTCCTGATGATGTATTTTCAAGCTATTCTGCCATGGCATTGTGCATGACCTGAAAACCATGGTCTGGCTGCAAAGGCAAGGTCAAGCACTAGAAACAAAGGTATGATGTTAATGTATTCAGAGATCAGAGGAATTAGAACAAGTCCTTTTTCCTGTTGCTGTATGGAAAGTGTCCTACATTGGCTCAGGAGGCGTGACTTGAATTTGCTAAGTAATTCAGGATAATTTGTCACATCAGTAATAAACTGGTCGTCAAGAGATGTGAAAAATAATGGGCAAGGTGGTTGGGCTAAACTGTTCCTACATGAGATGGAAAGCCTACCTGCAGTTATAGAAGATGGAGCTAGAGAGGACCTTGAACAGCTATGTAGACTCTCTGTATATCCCAAGACATGGCCAGTTATTACTGAAGTGCTCTTGACAGATCTTGGTCTAACCTGTTCTTCAAAATCTCCAAGATCAGAGATTGCATAGCCTCTGTGGGCAATTTGTTCCAGCTCCAGATAAATGAGCTGCTCTTTACAACAGCTAGGCATTCCTTGGGCTGCAGGTGACTCTGTCCCTTATGTAATCTGCAATCAGATTTACACCTTCTCTTTCCTAAATGCATGTTGGTGTCTTTCTGACCTTCTGAAATGATCTCTCTCATCGATTTGAAATGAAGAGGGCAATGCCAGTGTGAGTGATATATAGTGTGAGCTAGTACGTAATACCTTTGAGTCCATAATATACTTGATTTGCAGCCTACTGAATGTGTGATTACATATTACCTAGCTTCCAAAAAGGAAAGTAGTGGAAGAGGTTAAATAACATGGAAATATTATTTAGTAAAAGATTTTTCAGAAGCATTTGTCAGGAAGCAGCCGTCATTAAGAATAAGGAACAAGAGTTCATATCTCTGAAAATATCTGAGTGTTGGCATGCTTTGAAACAATTCTTGTGTGATTACTTTCTAACATAGCTTTGTGGCCTATTTATGTGAGCAAAGAAAATACTGATCTCTGTGTTGCCAGCATAGATACACAACACTTAGCTTCTTGGAATGCCAGATGGCCAAAATAATGATGGCTCAATAAGAACATGCTTGCATGGTACATACCATAGAGTGAAACTTCACTCTGTATGCGATGTTACTTAGCATTACTGACCTTACTGGAAAAAAAAAAACCAACCCAAACACAAAAGCAGAGAGACACAGTTGTCTACTACTACTTTTCCCAGCACTCCTACAAATGTGCCTTGCCAGTGCCATGGTCCATGACTGCAGCCATGGTAGGTTTGAGTTTCTTACCCATTATCCTGCTGTAGGGTCAACCTGCTGCCAGGTTTGCTCCCTGAGGTGGTTTATGCTGGTGTCCAGCTAGTGCCAGTGCCACTCCAAGGAAAGTGGTGGAGCAGTAGTGCTGAGGACGGGAGCTGGTGGGACATCAGCCACTACAGTGTCACCTCCAACTCCACCTTCATCTTTTTTTCCATCCATTCTCATGGTACTGAGATAATGGCACCTTGTTTGGGATAGGTTTCCTCTCGATTTATGTGGAGACTAAACTTTTAGCTATGTAAAACAGTAGAAAAAAATATAAGAAAACATTAGGGCAACTGTTTCCCAAAAGTGCCATTGCATCAGTCCTCTTAAAATCATACTGCTAATCACGGTGAGGTTTGCCAAAACCAAAACCAAACCGTGGTCTAAAAGAAACTAAACCCCAAGAAAATTTCAAAGGCTTAATAGGTCTCTCAAGGAACAAAAGACATTGTGAAATTTTCCTTGGAACACCTCTGTTTTTAAGGAATAACATAACACTTGTTATTTTATTTCATAAAATACAGTTAACCCTAGAAAGCAGTGCACAATCTTCCTGCTTCATCTAAGCTGCTATGTAGAATTCTCTCATAGGAAGAATGTATAAAATGTATCAAGTGTGTAAAATACTAAGTTTTGAGAAAAGAGCAGAAAAGTACATATCAGCTTTGACAGTAACGGCCCTTGCTAATAAACACATTATTGAAGTCTAATACATTATTCATGGTTTTCAGGCTGGCAGTCCTTCATATAGTTATACACATTAAATATATTGATTTCTTACATATTTTTGTATTTTGTTAAGTTTTTATGATTTAATGCTCTGCAGAAGCCCACCAAAAGGTACAGCATCTCTGAGTTTTCTTTCATGCTTGACACTGACTTGGCACCTTCCAGTGTAGCAAACCAAGTCCTGCTGACCACATGTAGATTAACTGTAGTCCTTTCCTATGCAAACTGCCCAGCCAGCCATGAAAATGTCACTTGGCTTCTGAAAACAAAGGCCTGCTTCCGAGGAATAGCTGCAGCTCCTGGAATAGGGCCTCGGAGACTTCAATACATTTCTGCTAATGATCTCTTGATTGTTACAGAAGTAAAGCCAGGGGTGTTTCTTTGCAGGACGTTATCACAGCATGCTGCTTCCTTCCTCTTTTCTTCCTCCCCCCCAGAAAAGCAACCTTTTTGGAGTTTGTTCTTTTTTTTTTTTTTTCCTTCAAGCAACCCTTCTCTCCCTGCTCCCTTCCCCAGAGCAGGCAGCAGAGGTTTTGCTCATCTGGGTGGCTCAGGGCTGAGCCGCCCATCCCACCTCTGCCAGCCTGACAGATGTTGCCCTGTTTCTTGTTCTACACAGTCCTGTCAGATTCCCCCTGGATCAATACCTCTGGCTCCTGCAAAAACAGATGCTTTGAACTTCAAGAGGCAGAGCCTCCTGGCTGCCGCTGTGACAACCTGTGCAAGAGCTACAACAGCTGCTGCTTGGACTTTGATGAGCTGTGCTTAAAGACAGGTACGATGGGTCTCCTGTCCCGCACTGTCAGGCACTGCCAATACCTGGTTTCTGCCAGCAGTCGGGACCTGCCTGATGAACCAGAGTTCCCTGCCATAACCTGCATATCCTCCTTACCTCACCTTGTCTTGCTGGGCAGGCTTGGCTCAGCTCAAAATGAAGCCCATATTTCCTTGCAAGAAGCAGTAGGGATGCATACCTATTGCTCCTTACTGCTGGGCTTCGGCTATGGTTTCCAGGGCAGAAAAAGCAGGGTACTATTCATACTACTTAGAAAATAGATCTTCTGATAGGCAGTTACAAACAATACTCAGTGATCAGGCACCAGTTTGATCTCCAAGTTGCAATGAAAGAAAGCCATGGTAAAGGCTGGAGGTTGGTCGTTCTGTGTCAGCCATCCTTTTTTCTCTCATCCTTTCTCCCAAGTGGTAACTTCATATTGGAACAATTCATGTCTGTGGGCAAGCGGTTGCTTGTGAAGCAGCCTCGGAAGCTGGAAGCACTGAAGCAGCATGGGTCTGCTGGGAATGAGCTGCAGGTGACATGCTGGGCTTGTTACCCTTGCTCCAGTCTCAAATTTCCAGATGTCAGGGTGCATATAACACACTGGTAAAAAAGTTTGACTTCAATTCATTGGTCCCTGGAGGATGGAAATACAGCACTGGGTTCATTTTCTTTTTACTTTTATCATGAGTCATAGGCAAGAAAAACTTCAAAGAGTACCATGAGCTATGTTTTACTTCTTAGTATAGTGCATTTAAATTATTAGTTGTACCCATCTCCTTGAGTGTTTGCACAGTGGTCAGAGTTGACACAGGTGCCTGCTATATTTGCCATCAAAATCCTTATTGCTTTATCAAGGAATTTCATTTATTAAGCAGCCAGAAGAGAAGTCTAATGATTAAAAATATCATTGCCTATGGATGTGCCATGCTTGGAAGTCCTGACTTCCTCAGTTCTGTTTCTAATGATATCATATTAATAGCTTGGTACCAAAAAATGGTGAGCTAATCCAGTATGAAAAACTACTTTGATTCCAGGCTAAAAACTTCTGAATTTTAGGTTGATGCTGTTTTGTTCTTGGTGTAAATGTCTGCATAGAGAGAGATTCTTTTTGAAGACTTTCAGTGCAATACAAGATGTTTGTTACCAAAGGATGGATTTTAAGTTTCTCAGCCTCCTGTCTGCAGCGCATCATGTCCGCATGTGTAAGGATACCTGCATGGACCTTGAAACTGGTGTCTGAATTGTCATATACTCCCCTAGGCATTTATTAATTCAATTATCACATGTATATCTGTAAATACTACATAATTATAGGAAAAAGCTCCAAATGAAGGAAAAAAGCGGATAAAAGATGTGGTGTGTTTTTTACTGGATGGGTGTTTTCTGAAGTGATTTTTAAAGTTTCTTCTTCGTTGAGCCAGGATGTGGAAAATGATATCCTTACATTATTAGGCCTATTCCAAAGCGCAGCAACATACTGCCCTTGAAAGAGCACCCAAGTTTAGACAAGTGCTTAGATCCTAACTTCATTTGCAAGATGAGAAGGTCTGGGGTGTTTTACAGCAGGCATGCCATGCTTTTCCTTGAAGAACAGCTCTTGTTCTCATAACTTTTGTGGTTGGTACTGAATCTTACCCTGTGAGTGAGAAACTGATGGGAGGAAAGCATCAATTTGCATCCACATAACCTCCTTTCAGTGTTCTCGTTTCCTATGGATTGAATCAAGGACAGGAGTCATTGGGAGGAAAAGACTGGATTACCCAAGAAACATCAGAATCTCTAGTTTGTGGTTCAGGCCTCACCGCTTTCCTGTCAAAGTCCTTTCTTGTCTTCTGCTTTCCACACTTTTTCTGGCATTCAGGCTGTACAGAGCCTGGAGTACAATACCTGAGGGTAGCAGAAGCACTTGTGGGTGGGTGGAGGAGCACTCCTGCACCTGCAGGACACAAGGGTCCTTTTTGGTTCTGGTTGACAAGCCAACTTCAGATGTCTTGAAATCACTAAAATGGGCTGTAAACTTTACCTCCAACTTTAATGACTAGAGCATTGTCGTTATGGCTCAAGTCAGTACTTTCGTTTTGATTATAATCTCTCATTCTTGCTTACTTTATGAATATTTTAGCTCGGGGCTGGGAATGTACCAAAGATCGCTGTGGAGAAACCAGGAATGATGACAATGCATGTCACTGCTCTGAAGACTGCTTAAGTAGAGGAGATTGTTGTACTAATTATCAAGTCGTTTGCAAAGGTACATCTTTGTCCTTTCTACTTCTTATCTTTCCAAACCCAGTAGAAGGCAGCCCTGTGGGTAAAGAGTTTCCTTTTAAAGGGGGAATCTTTTCTTGTTCTGTTCTGATTTTTCAGAGGATGGGGGGAAGAATGGGGAATTGCACTGGAACATTTTGGGAACTAGCAGAGGTTAATACTTCTAATTTATTGATGGTAGAAGGACATTATTTTTGCCTGTAGAGGTAACGATAGAAAGAGGAGTAGGTGGATGAACAAGAATTCAAACCAAAACACAAAAGTGTTCAGATGCATTTGCCTGCATCACAGGGACAGCAGAGAGATCTGATGGTCTCGGAAGGAATGGAGCATTCCTAGATATGTTATCTCTGTTTTAAAGACCTCTCCCACCCCCACCACAAAAGCTCCTTCTTAAAACTACTTGGCCTAACACCTGTAGGGTTTGTCTGTTAGTGAGAGTGGAGATGTGAGAATACAGAATGGCTGTGAGTGGCAGATGGTGGCATGGGCTTTAGATGAACACGCCACCTTTAGATACACCATGGCTGCAGTACAGACTGCACTCCTTGGTAGGTGGATGGGCTGTGAAGGCTTAATTTTGATCCTCTACCCTGACTTCATGGAACTTGTCCTGCCTTGTGTAATGTGTCTCCCATTCAGAGCAGATCTTCTGATCCTCGCTAATGAGTCCACAGGTTCTCACTTTTTTTATCTCAGCTAGTTCTTAGTATTTCCATTCGTTAACTTTACTGGTGGAAGGGTTACAGTTTGAAGTTTTTTCTTCCACGCAATTTTAGCCAACTGCATATGTTCAGAAAATTATAATAGTCCAGATCCATACACTGAAAACTAACTTTTTTCTCGAGTTTGGAATCCAAATGATATATGTACTTTCCAGCAAGCCCTGTAGATTATGTTCTTTCCCTTCTCAAAGAAACCCAAGGCTGAGACCACTTAAATACTGGTATAGTTTTCAGGTTTTTGTGAGCTCCCTCTTACAAAGGTCAAGACGGAAGAATTTACATGTCTCCAGCTTTAATGTACATAATCTTTGTTGAACTGGCTAATAACAAATAATCTCAATTACCCTGGCACTCTAACAGGACCAAGCCTCATGTAAGAACAGTGTTTCCTCTTTTGTGTCTTTGCCTATCTGAGGATAGTATATTTGGGGGGTTTTTTTGTTTGTTTTGTTTTTTTTCCTTCTTGGAAATAGTCCCTCCACCTCCCGTCATGGTCAGCTGGAATTGCTGCAGGACATATTTCCTGCAGATCTTTTCTATGGTACTTTTTGTTTTGTTCTTTTAATTGAACTGCAGTTCCTTTAATAGTGCCAGGTTCAGGAAGCTAGGCTCATTAGCTAATAATTTGTTTTTCAATTGACCTGTGAAAGTGCAAGTCATGAGCCGCTCTATAGACAGCATTCAGCAGTGAAAACCGTAAGAAAATAGTTGATTACATGAAGTAATTTTAACTAATCTAACTCTGAAAGAGTATTAAGGCTTTTTTTAGCTGTGTCTGAGTCTTACCTGATCCATGAGCTGATCAGCTGGAAACTATTTAGAGTTGGTTTTCTTCCCCAGAATGAATTATGCTTTGTGTCTTTAGCCAGCTGAATCAACTCATGGAGACAGAAGAGCTGGTGGGAAGGAGGGTGGGAATTCACAGCCAGAAGCAGCACTACCTGGTTTTGACAGGTTGAATATAAAAAAATGAAATAGATGACCACTGTGGCTGAAGTGTAACCACTGTCTCCTGCGGTCAAAAGGACACTCTTAGGAGTGAGCACTTCTGGGAGTGCTAGTTTGGATATTCTTGTTGAATAGATGTCATGGTTTGAGCATATAACCAGATCATTTACTCAGTTTTGTGAAAAGACCTGCTCATCATTCATGGGAATTATGACACAGGAATCCATTGCCTGGAGCTAGCTTTAGTTTTTATTTTTTTTGAAACTCCAATGTGACTTTTCTGACAGGAGAAACCCACTGGGTGGATGATGACTGTGAAGACATAAGGGCTCCTGAATGTCCAGCAGGGTAAGTATTTCCTACCCAAGCACAAATCCCAGTGCAGCAAGGCCAATGGTCCCTAGCTCTACCTCGGACCTCTGAGCATTGCATTTCTGCACTGCCCCATCTCACAGGTTGAATGCCTCAGGGCTGGATGCTTTCCTGTGCTTCACCATTTGTACAGTTAGGCTGATAAATAGGCATTTGCTTTGAGCAGCTAGATGAGTAGTGATGTGATATGTGGGCTTGAACTCTTTGTCTTTGATCACCCACTGATCAGTTTGCCTGATTCCCTTATCACATAGGGAAGGTAACCAAACTCCCTGGAAGCCAGTGGAAAGGTTTAGATTTTTCTGGTTGCAATAAAATTCAGGTTGATCCATATGTGAACATAGTTCAAGCCATTTTTTTTTAAATTGAATTTTGTACTTTTAATGTTCCATTCCTAAGTGAAAGGATTTCCAAACTGCAATGGAGTACAGCCTTGACTGAGTGAGGTACTTGAGCACATGGCCAACACCGAGAAAGTAAGCACTTTAGGGACCAGTTGGCTCACTGTTATCCTTAGAGGTAAGCATCTGCTCAGGTGCTGTGAAGTCTGTGCTTTTAGAAAGACAGTTTGGAGGAGACAGGAGCCAGTGCTTCTCCTGGTGACAATGATGACTGCTTACCCCAACAGCAGGTGACCAGGACACGTTGCTGTCTGCTTAGGAGGCAGCAGGAGCACTAAATAAAAATGTGATTACATAACATGAAATACTGTCATCTTTATTATGTGAGAATGAGCTCTGCCTCAAGAGCTCACTCAAAATGCCACATGCACTTTTGTCTGTGAAGAGAGACCAGCTGTCACAAGACATGTGGTTTTTAACTACAGATTGTATGCTAGGGTGGGTACTCATGCATACTGTTTTTCTTTGTTCTCCTTGTCCTTCTATAAACCCTTGCCTTTTTGGGCTAAATGCTTTTAGCTGCTCAAGGAAGTTCTTTTACGTTGGAGCTCAGTCCTTTCACTGGCTGTCAGTAAACACTGGATGTTACTAAGCATGAAGATTGTCAGTTTCTGTTGGTTTATTAAGTAAGCAAAAAAGTTATATATCATATGTAGTAACTGTACTTTAGATTCTCTGGAGTCTCAGTGAGCAAGTGGAAATAGAAAAAAACCCCACTTTGTAATGCTGCCTTACACTCCTGCTGCTTTTGCTTTTAGCTTTGTCCGTCCCCCTTTGATCATCTTCTCTGTTGACGGTTTCCGTGCATCATATATGAAGAAGGGGAACAAGGTCATGCCCAATATTGAAAAACTCAGTGAGTACATCTGTTTTCTTACAATAAATGAAATACAATCTCTTGCAGCCCAGTTGTTTCCATTGTTCATTGAGCAACAGAAGTAAGTGTGAGCTGGTGGGTAGAAGGGCTGTGCCAAATGCAAATGCAAGGCTCCTCTGACTGAAAGGTCTGACAAAGATTAAGTCTTTTTTTCCATGAAAGTGAAATGGCAGAAGTCCCCTTTGGTTTAGATGGTATCAAGTGGTAACTTAAAAAGCACCCTGGCTAAAGGAGCACCCTGCAATCAGAGAGTGGGAAGAGAGCTGCTGCTTTGAGGAATGCTGGTCAGAATCAGTGACCTTCATATGGTTTTGTCAGCAAAGAAAGAAATCTTTAGTGCATTATGTATCATACTTTTGTAGGCTAGTTGGGAGGTACCCAAAAATTTTCCACTTGATTCAAAAATGTTGAAGATAGCCCACTGTGAAACCGCAGCTTTACTGTATTTATCATTTACAATTAGCCAGCATTTTCTCATGTTGTTTTACTTAGATACTCCCAATAAGTCTGGATTCTGGAAGGAGACTAGCTCAGAAAGTAAAACAGTCTATGGAAATGCAGCTAGTTTTGTAGTCCTCTGTGTTATTTCAGTTTCTTACTGTGAAGTACAAAGTGTGCATGACTGATTTACTACTGTCCCATGGGAAGACCTGCCAATGTTACACGGCAGAACATTCATTTAAATTGGTTAAAATTTAACCAGTTTCTGCAGCATTTTGAGTCCAGGCAAATGACAACTTCTGGTTTTGTTTTCCAAGTCTGAGAGCTTCACTTCCTAATGTTTGCATTTGCTATTGATTTTTCAGGATCTTGTGGAACACATTCTCCTTACATGAGACCCGTCTACCCTACGAAAACCTTCCCTAACTTGTACACTCTTGCTACTGTAAGTCCCTATGAACATTTTTTTGATGATAAAATGTTGCACTGCAGCAGAAATGTAGGTTATGGGAAACAAGGTTTTGTTTTATTTAATAACACTGTTCACTGTCCATCCTTTTTAGTCTTCAGTTATGTTAAGTATTTTCTCTGGCATTTTGCTGTTCTGAGATACCTCACCATTATACACAGTATTACAGCTTTCCTGTGCTTTCTAATGCCTGCTTTTTGCAGTTATTTGTACTGCTGTGTAATTACAGGTCAAAGTTTTTCTAGGGGGGGAAAAAACCACCCTGAAACCCTACCCAGAATACAACCAGCAGTTGTTCCTTCATTGGAGTAGCTGAAGTCAGTGGGGCTGATTTAGCAGCTGACTTACAGTTTACAGTTGCTGAGTGTGTTGGATGCGGTGCTGGCCCTGCAGTACAACAAACCATCACTTCTGCACTCCGGTGCCAGGCTGTCCCCACACTGGCATGCAAACGCTCCCATGTGACAGTGCCCCAAAAACTGAGATAAGGGACTCCCTACCTGCAGCTGTAGTTTTTAATCCTTCCTTTCTTTCCTGCAGCCTCTGCACAAATGTTAAATGGGAAGAGAAAAGAGGGGATGGAGAAACAAATAGCTGGGGATGGGAGAGGGCCAGGAGAAAGGGAGGAGAGCAGAAACTTCTTACGTTGCCTTTATTGCTGGACAAATTGTGCTGTGGCTTTGGGTGACTTGCCTCTTCTGTTTGTTTTTGGTTTGGTTTTGTTTTTTTTTTTTCTTGGAAATAACTTATCTCACAGAGACTCTGGTGAAGATAAAACATTATAAAATGGAAATGTTAAGTGTTACTCTTGCAACCAGAGAATGAATTACTGTTCCCAGAAAAGGAATACATGAAGAGGAATTGAAAGTTCAAATCAATCTTCTTTCCATAAATTTTTGCTTACTGTAAATAGCCTCAAACTAACTTTTAACCAGTGTGAAAATACTTTAAAGTATTGAGTAACAGGAGCTTTTATGCTTTTTAGCACAGTTCAATCATCTTCTACTACTTTACTACAGCCAGTTTTAAATGCACTTATTTATCTTAAATTTATCTTAAAGGTAAACTTAAAGTTTATCTTTAAGTTAAAACTTTCCTGGTGTGCAGTTACAAAGATACCTGTTTTACAATAATTCAGTGGTACTTGCAGATAGCTGTGAAGAACTGGAGTTGTGTGCATTAGGGTTTTACTAATTAATCTATTTCTGCACAAAGGGACTCTATCCTGAATCACATGGAATTGTTGGCAATTCAATGTATGACCCAGTGTTTGATGCCAGCTTCAGTCTTCGAGGGCGAGAGAAATTCAATCACAGATGGTGGGGAGGTCAACCAGTAAGTTTCAGATTCCCTCTTCCTCCTTTCCTCCTCCCTTTCCTCCCCTCCCCCTGTGCCGTGGAACATAGCCAAAAATAATAATTAAAAAAATACATCTGTGAACAATTTGTACCTAATCTCCCCCTGGCTGGCCCTGTGTCTATCAATTTAACCTAATGTTTTGAGTTGGCTTTTGCTTTTCAGTATAATAAAGCCATTGATTATGGAAAGGTGCTTGCATTGATACGTGTAAATTAGATGTGGCTAGGAAAAACCCCTCACTTTAGGCAGCAGTTTAACACTGTATTTTTGTCACAGTGCCATAATGTTTCCTTTTCATTATGGGGTTCTTGTGTTTTCATCCTAGTAATGTCCTTGTGGCAGTTTTAGTATTAATGTTCTGTCAGCATAGTGTGGCACAACTTCATAATTAAGTCCACAAGAGATTGCTGTTACCTGAGTTGCTGCAGAGGCTGTAGAAGTTTGTGAATTAATTTCTGCCTTGAGCACAGCAGCAGTGGCTGAACTAAGTCCTCTCTTTAAGGTTAGTGTTGGATTTGGTGTTTTCTCTAGCTCTGAATCCTTATTCTGGGCATAGAAATGTCCTCCTTCAAAATACTCCTCATTACTACAGCTCAGAAGAGTCCCCTTGCTTCAGCTGCGCTTCTCCCCTATCAGTGCATGCTCTGGTGGCTTGCTTTGCCAACAAAAGTGGGCTTAAATTAAACTAACAAGTTTTACATGCAAGCAGCCATGGTGCATGCACACATCGTTGCACTAATTGCTTCCTGAACACTTAACCCCACAAAAGAGTGAGGTGATAGAGGTGGGGAAATCGGAATGGGTTTGGTACACCGTAATCTGTCACTGCTGTTTGCTGGAGTGATCAGTGTCATCCCCCAAATCACTCTAAAACAGACATATCCCAAGAGACTAGAGGAAGTTACTTAGATGGCTTTAGGCTTAACAAGCGTCTGTGTTATTTGTCTGCATGTGGTTTTAGTCCACAACAAATGTGAGACAAGGCAATGTCAAGCTGCAGGCAGATGTGACAGGCAGATGTGTTTGGCTGTAGCTGAGCCAAAATGAGGTTATTTTTCTCTTGTAAAATTTGTCAGCATAAGAGTGAGCATAGACACTGCCTTGCCCAACTATGACCCAGGTTAGCTTTAAGCATGCCTTGTGTCAAGAGCAGCAGGTGAGGAACCTTACTAGATTTTATCTTCCTAGATGTGAGCAAAGAAACAGGATCAAAACTAGGAGCAGTGAAAGGGTGGCAGTGGGTTGCCTCTTCCTTCATCTCGGCTACAGCCAGAGCCACACAGCTAACAAACCGTTCCTGCTGCATTCAGGCAGCAGGCTCACAGACAATATTGTGGCTTAACTGCTGTGTGACAACTTGTTAAGCAGCTGTAATTTAATTATGTGTGCCTTAATCACAGTTAGGTAGGAGTTAGTGGGGAAGTAACTGTTTGGGACTATACAAATGTCTCTATTTTTAAACCATGATATTTGTACCAATCTAAGTCTATAAATACTTCACACCTGCTGTGTTGAGTGGGGAATACTGGTACTTCCCACATATGGCCATTAGAAAAACTTTTGCTGTTCCAGCAAAAAGAAGTTTTTCTGGACTGTAAACAAGGGTCATGAAAAATGACAGCTGAGAAGTGTTCAAGAAAGTTACACAACAGTGGATGACCATATGTTGGATGAAATCCTCAGAGGACAGGCAGTCTGTTGCTTGAACAAGTATGAACGATAAAATCAACCTGATTTGAAGAAGTGTTAAAAAGGAAAAATACACAAATAATGTAATAAACTGGAGATGTCTTTAGGAAACTGAAACATGAGTAAAGGAAGAGCTATAGTTCAATTCCCATGCATTTAATATGAGGGAAACCAGTAAGTTTGGCAAACCTGATAGGGTGGCCATAGTGGTTGGGTAAGGAGATTCTAGATCTCTTGCAAAAATCTGATATGCATGGACCCTGCACATGGAAGAATTGCACATATGATGAGTGAATTTCAGATTTTTATAAGAGAAAAAAGTATCTCCATCTATATATGGATTAGATACAGTCTGTTCTAACTATCTATAATTTTCTCTAAATATCACACTGACATAGATGCCAAAAGTAGCTGGGTATTGAAAAAGTATAACTAAGGGGAGAGGAAGGGAAATCTGCTCTGCATATCATAAACTCTTGCCTGTCATATCACATATTCATCTGGTTCTTTTTAGGTCTTGGGTCTCAAACTGGAGTACTCAAACAACTGCAGAGTGGGATTTGGTTTGCACAGAATTGGAAATTATTAGTTTTCTTTCCAGGAGGGCATAAAAACTGTCTGAGACCCCCAGCCTCGCATTATGACTAACACTGCCTAGAAGAGAATGTCATTTAATGCTGATAATTTCTGAAATACTTCCTTGCTCCTGGAAAATGGCCTATTGTATCTGGCTTTATTAAAATGTGGGGGGTTAGTGGTGTTTTGTTTTGTTGGTGTTGGTTTGTTTTTCTTTTTAATTATTAATTACTTGTTCTAATACTCAGCATCTTGCTGGGAAACAGCCAGATTACCATGGACATCTGTGGGATTTGGCAGATGAGTAGCTGAATGTTTCTACACCAGGAATTATGAGAAATTAATTTTGAGAGCATTAGGAAAAGAAGTGAGGAAAAGGTAGCTTGGAAGTGTTTTGAGGTGCTGTAGCTGGCTGTGGGACTTCCTGATATCCAGTCTTTCTGATTCGGTCTATAACCTTGATTTATTATGTAAGCTTAAAACCACCTTGTTTTCAAAACAAAAGTGTTTGACAGGAAACAGCCGCAAAACCACTCCTCATATTGCTACAGCATCTCAGAAATGGTGAGCAACAGGACCCATGCTCCCAGGGGGGAACCTAAGTTTACTGCTCATTTTTCATGACACTGAGACTCTTTTCTCATCCCAAGTAACTTCATGCACTAAAGTAGGCTCCAGCTGCCTTTGGCTTCTGTTAAGCAGTACTTTTCCATATCTTGGTTTGATGTAGTGATGTGCCAATCTTGTAGATGTTTCTTTTCCTGGGAAATGCTGCGATTTCCCCTTTACCACCTTTGCCTGGATTTGGAAGGGATTTCCCATTCATGTATTACTAACTTGTGTACGTGTTTTCCCTTCCCTAGTTGGCCAGCAGGTTTGTGCGACTTGGCACAAGGGCTAGACTTCAGAGCTGTCCCCCCCATCAGCCTTGACCTGAGATGTGCTGCTGCCAGTCCTTTCATAATGCAACAAACACAAGGCAGCCTTTGCAAAGTTACTGGCTTTTATTTATTCATGGCAGATTAAAAGCAGGGAGATGCCCTACTTCGTGCGTAGGCTTTCAAAGACAATTCATCAGCTATCTCAACTCTGTATGTAGTATCTGTGTGCAAATGTGTCTAGCAGGCAGAAGGGAAAACTTGGGACTTCCATGTTCCATATGGCATTGCCACCTAAACTATTGCTTAGTCTGTCTATTTTTATCCATAAATAAAGGAGAAAAATTGCAGTCATTCAACACATAAGATATAAAAATGACAGTAATTCAATGTATAGGATACGTTTCATATACATCTAGAAAAGCATGTATATTATTTCTTGTGACATTTGCCACTGTAAGCGTCGAATCTGTGGGTCCATGGTTTAACAGGTTATTAGTTAAAATTAATTTATCTGTACTGGAAAAGTTAGATATTCTCTAATTGCTGTGGCATGGTCTGAAGACAGAATGGTTAATCTTTAGTTCTTTTAATATTTATTCCCCTTCTCTCTGCTCAAGCAAATTAATTCAGAAATAATGCCTTTATATAGGTTGCAATACAATAAGGCTTGTCCCATATGCAAACATCTGACATAGAATTTTAGAGTCAGCTGTTTTACTAACATATTAACAGTTAAAACCAACGTATTTACATATGGCAAATAAATTACATAAGCTCACAAATGGTACTGACCTTGCAACACCTAAGACAGCAAACTTGATAAGTGACCTGAACAGATGTGACCAGCCACAGAGCATATATAACGCATTGCAGTTACATGCTGAGTACTGGAACATCTAGGATTAATAGACTTTAAGGCTGTGACTAACTGACAGAGAGGAAACGGAACAAGAACTCTTATTCCCATTTTAATTTCAGTTTGGTTTGGATGGGAAAGATTCAGAGGGCACTGGATAACTTCTTTTTTCCATCCTACGTTGACTGATAGTGTAGAGTCATGTTAGCCTGTGAGAGGTATAACTTGACTTGAAAGATAATGGATTTAATTTAGTGAGAGATGTTCACTGGTGATTAGGCTGCAGTAAGTCTGCCATGCTTTTCTGCTGGAGTTGCTATCATCTAGCTGAGGGTAATAAAGAAACTTATGTGCTCCTATGAGCTGCTCCAGTCTGTCTAATTTTACCTAGCCAGTAAAGCGTCTGGCTGATCAAGGACGCTTCTGGGAGATTGTACCATTAAATCCATCAGCAGTAACTGTCACAACTCTAAAATGCACTGGAAATTTGATTTAAAGCTTGTTCAATGCTGATAGAAATTCTTCCATCTAGATGACTGCTGCTACTCTGCATGCTCAAAGATGTGTCTGCAGATGTATTGCTGTGAGTAGCAGCTTTAGGTGTGATGTTGAATAGCGTTGAGTTTTCTTATTTTGGTTTCAAATAAACCAAAGGCCCCCACCTTCCCACCTTAAAGAAAAAAAAGGGAAGTCCAGTAGTATTTTGTTGTAACCTTGAGTTGAACCAGGCTCTGCCTGGCAAAGTCAGGATGGAGTCATTCAGACTCACTTCTTAAATGCTGTAGTCAGATACTGGCCTTTTGATTTGCTGGTCTTTGTCTTCAACAGATCATTGTCTTTGCTGCTGAGCTTACTTCAAGTGCAACAGACATATGTCCTTATCCAAACAGCTACTGCCAATGTAAATGGCTGAATTCCTGAGGTGAAATACTTGGGAGCAGAGAGGGTGCAGTTTTTCCTGTCTGAAGCCAGCTGGGGTGCCTTTGGACCCTTACTGCTCGCTTAAGAGTGCACAAATAACAGTGAAAACATTACTCCTGCTCCAGCAAGGTGTTTCAATGCTGTTTTCACATGGCACTCACGAAGCACACTCTATGCTCAACAGGAATAAAAAACACTGAACGCCTTCTTGCAGGTATGCTTGGTACACCTTGGCAATGTAGGTAGGGCCTAGAGGGACTCTTCATTAGGGACTGTAGTGGTAGGACAAGGGCTAATGGGTTTAAACTTAAACAAGGGAACTTTAGGTTAGGTCTAAGGAAGAAGCTCTTCACAGTGAGGGTGCTGAGGCACTGGAATGGGTTGCCCAAGGAAGTTGTGAATGCTCCAACCCTGGAGGCATTTAAGGCCAGGCTGGACAGAGCCTTGGGCAACATAGTTTAGTGTGTGGTGTCCCTGCTCATGGCAGGGGGGTTGGAACTAGATGATCTTAAGGTCCTTTTCAACCCTAACTATTCTATGATTCTATGACTAGTGTTTCGCTTGCTTGGCCAGAGGGAGAGTGTCTTTTGATACGTGTTTAAAAATGTTGCCTAAAATAGACAGGGTCACGTGTAATTGCAGCAGTGCAAACAGTGAGGAGCAGCACAGGACAGCTTCAGCTGCTGAGGGTGGAACTTGGCTGGTCTGATTTGGCTAAAGAGGCAGCCTGGACCACTTGGACCTGTGCAGGCCAAAGCAATAGAAAGTCAAACTAGAGTTAGCAGATGGTAAAATCCAAGTGCTGAATTCCCTGGACTTAGTTTGTTGGTACCTTCCCAAAGATATCTGCAAAATTATTTAAACTTTGCAGGAACACAAACACTTTCAAAGAAAAATAAACCTGCTGCAGTTCTGCAAGGACAATGGTTTTCCAAGCAGTGCAAGACCAAAGAGCATAACAGCAGTGGAGCTGACATTCTTCATGTTGAATTTGTATTTGATCTCTTTTCTCTGCCGTAGAGGGGTTCTACTCTAGGAATAAATCAGCAATGCAAAGTAAAATGTAATAGATTTAAGTATGGGTTCTTTTTCACCTGGAAAGTCCATGAACTACTAAAGAACATGGGGTAGCTTCTGCCCTAGCTAAACACCATCTGCCTTAGGACAGATGGTGCAGTCTGAAGGTATATACCCTGTGGTGATTTATATGACACAAATGAGCTTGTGGATGCATCCTTACATTGCAGTCACACCTCTGACTGCAGTGTACAGGCCCAGTGACATGATGAGTGGATTGCAGGCATGCTTCCTCATCTCTCCCATTCACCTGCCTTCTTCTGTCCTGTCCCGTTAAGGCTAATATTCTGTGAGCACAGGAAGCCAATAACCCCATTATTCAATAATTCAAAACCAAATTCCAGTATAAATTCAAAGCCATTTTAAATTTTTTTTCAGTAGATATTTTGCAGTCACATCATCTTGTGGTCATTGTTACCATGAGAACCTCAGTGCTGGTGGAAGGCTGAGGCTGAAAATGCTGGGGGAGATACCTGGGAGACACCCCATTTGGTGGCAGCTTGAGCATAGATTAATACAAACCAATCCTGAAATCAGACTCTTGAGGAGAAACACCTGAAAACAGAGAAGGGTGGACTGCATATCTGTGGCCATTCCGCTCCTGCTCTTGCTGCATTTAGAAAACCAACATTTCTATAGAGCTGCCATGGATGTATTCTTCCTTGAAAAAAGTTGCCAGAAAGTTAGAATACAATGAAAACAAAAGATCTTCTATAGCTGTGATTTTAATTTAACTGGAGTGAGTCCAGTAAGATTTGGAAGAGCAAAAGATAATAGATAAGTTAAAGGGTGTGACCAGGGCACTGGAAAGGCAAAGATGATCAATTTTCCCACAAATAACATGATACCAATTTTAGTTGCTGTTGACTATAGCTTCAGTGTGCAAATAATCTTTCATCAGACTTTGCCAAATTTATTTCAATTAAGACTAATGCATGAACAATTCAGTCGTGACATTTGAGCAGTGCATGCCCAGATGACAGTTTTTGAGTGCCAATTTGAGCAAGGTAGAGGAATCTGTTTTCAAAAAGTTTATATAAAGTAAACCAAAGATTTTGCAATTATGAAGTAAGGGAACTACATTTTGGCTTAACTGCTCATGAAATGGGTAAGTATGCATAAATGATGGGAAGAAATAATCTAGTTGTACACCATTACCACTTTTGAAATGTGTTTTCAGTTAATTTGGATAGTTCCTTGCAAGGGAAATTTGGTTCTGTAGGGTTATAAACTCATATTGTTTGCTTTCCTTGATTGTGGATCTCTCTGACATTTGGTCATTCTCATTCACCTGACTTACACAGATATTCAAAGAATAGAAAAGAGAAAGTGGGTGAAGGAGAGAGAGAGAGAGAAGGGTAATGAGGATGACAAGTGGTATGTTACGGCTTTTATTATAGAAAGATCAAATGAACTAAGGCTACTCATGCTTGAAAAGCAGTAAAAAAAGGAGAGTATCATGAATGTTGGATAGAAGTGGGAAGAGAAAGGATTAATAACCTGTTGACAAAGTATGAGAACAGTACCCTAACTCCAGAGATACTGGCAAGTTGAAACCAAACAAAACCAAAAATACACTCGTGCAGTGCATGACTACATTGTGGAACTTCCTGCTCCAAACTGATTTGTAGGCAGAAAAATATATGGGATTTGAAGGAGTGAAAAAAGGAGCTGAAAAATTAATGGAGATTGTTTCCATCATTTCCGTCAAGCACTTGGGGTGAGCTCAAGAAGTTTTTAAGCATCTATGGAGGAAGATGTCCCTCATTGCCTGCTTCATACCCCCACTCGCTCATCTGTTCCCTTTTTTGTGTTCTCTTTTCTAACACATTTTCTGTTCATGGCTACTGGTGCTGGAATATGGGGAAAGAGGCACGTTTATGCAGACACTGCTTGGTGTTAAGCCGTGTTACTTCCTGCAGAGCGTCCTCCAAAACTTTAACACTAAAAGGCTCAGGGGAGTAATGACTTATTTTTTTAAAATTAAATGGAATACTGGAGAAATGCCTGGCCATGATTCTTAATGCTTTGTATTTAAAGCAACACAGAGTTTTAGGGGTGAAAGCCCACAGCATGGTGGCTGATCCACCAATACAGAATTTCCATAGGTTTGTCACTCCATGTGTTTGAACTGGGGACACAGGCTGAAAACTGCAATTTTCACCTCTAGGCTCAGGCTAGAAGAATGTGTCTTGAAAATTATTTTCTTTTGATTTCAGAGGGTCATTAAAGATCTGAACACATTCTAATCCTCTTATATTTCCTCATTAGATTTGGATTACTGCAGCCAAGCAAGGGGTGAAAGCTGGCACGTTCTTCTGGTCTGTGTAAGTGCACTCTGTTTTCTGGAGATTCGTAACTAATAGTTCAGAATTAATTTGATGCAAGAGTTTATTAAGTCATTTTTCTTAATCTAAGCAGTTGGCAGCTGGGAGACCATACCTGTAAGCCTCCCTTGTTTCATTTGTGCAATGTTTCTGATGCTAGTTTGCTGCTTTAAGTTCATACGCTGATTTTTAGCATTTGTCTGAAGAAGAGATGTGTGAATATGTAATAAATTGCTTTCTTTAATTTCATGGTGTGTTGTTTCATGTCCTTAGTATTGCTAGTAATGTTTGCTAGTCCTTTGAGCATTTGTGGAAGGCTCTTTTATTGTCCTCTTATGTCATCTGACATCAACAGCCTAATTGACTCAAAGCCTGACTCATTCATTTTACAATCCAGTCTGACCTTTGAGTAAGATATCCAATTTCCCTTTCCTAAAAGACAGCCTTGAGGATCTTTGCTGTTTATTCTTTTGTTTAACGGTTCCAAATTATTTTCCCTTATCCCAGCTAAGACATGTCTTCTTAACCAAAAATGAATGAATTTTCGTAATTTCTGAGTTCTGAGGATTTTGTGTGGATCAGTCTCTCTATTTCATTTTAATGGCAGGGTTGTAGGAGCAAATTAAATGGGCAGACTGTCAAGGTTGAAGTGCTAAAGAGGTTTGCCTATTTTTTGTGATTCCATTAGGAATAATACTCATTGCTACTCTAAGTATCATTTGGCATATGGAAGGAATAAAATAAAATGTACCATGCGCAAACCTGATGATAGGCTTAGGCTTGCAAGATCTGACAGAGCTCCAGTCTGGTGCTCCACAAAACAAAGAAATTAATGTGATTCCTAAGCTCTAGAACTACATAGTCACCATAAACACCCTGGCCAATGAATGCTTGGGGATATAAAATGTTATGGAAGGCAACCAAGGATATGTCACACCAATTGCAATAATAAGCGAGCAAGACAGCTGCTTTATGTATAAATGAAATATATATATATAAAAACTCTATTTTTTAATTTGGGACACAGAATTTTTTTTTGAGAGTTTTCAAGCAAACTTTGGAAAACAGAAGCATTAAAACCATCTTAGTCACAAATTACTTAATTGAAACAATGTGGGGTTTTTTCTCATTACACAATTAATATACATTTTAAAACTGGGCAATACCCAAGATTATTATTCTGCTTTATGATATTGCCTTTTTTGTAAATTTTAGCATACATTCTCATTTTTATAGTTGTTTTACAACCAGAAGTTTTCTCTGTAGTTAGAGACTGAGGACCACTGTTGTTCTACATGGCATTAAAAATGAACTCATTTTAAAATGGCTGTTGGCATTTTTATTTCTGTCAAATGTTTCCAAAGAGTGCTGAATTCAATTTAGCATGGTGAATCCAAGACAGTTGTATTTGATTTTTGCCTTGGGATTCTGCTATTAATCTAATGGAATCTGGACTGACACTGCTATTGTATTAAAATAGCTGCATGGTCACTGACCTGCAGAGTTTTCCTAGGATGAGCTATTTAATTTTAACAGCTGTTTATAAGGTTAGTCATTCTCATAGCATGAACTTGGCCTCTGCAGCCAAGTGAGAAATCTCGGGACACAAACAGTGAAATAGGACGAGTTTGTTCTGCAGAGTGAGAAGCTGTCAAAGTTATGCAAGTCACCATGCTGATGGCCTGGTGTGTCAGATGGTTGTTTTCATTTACACCAGCCCAACCCTCAGTTTAGCTACCATTAAGTCAATGGGAACTTTTCCAGTGTCTTCAAGACTACCAGAGCAGGATGACTGATTAAACCTGTACTGATGTGAGCAATTTAATGGTTTTTACTCATGCCATCTATCCAATGGTAGCACCGTTGTACATAAAAAAGGTTCATCTGGGTTAAAGCTACCAAAATGGTATTCAGTCCTGTTTAGAACAGTCTGATTTACTGCCTTGAGTTCTGACTCCAGTTACAAACTTCTAATCATCTTTCTTTTGAAGTGTGTGGACACCCAGGAGATCTGAGGCAATTCTATTTGCACAATAAGAATAAAGATCAAGTAAGAAAGAAGATACAGCATAATAAAAGCAAATAATGTTGTTATAATTGGTTTTAATCAGGTTAGAAGCAGTTCATAGCAAGACTGTGTTGATAGTTTTTGTATCCAATGATAACAAGGTATATTTTTGTATTTTGTGGTCCAGTGTCATCCCCCATGAGCGCAGAATATTAACAATACTGCAGTGGCTAACCCTTCCAGACAATGAAAGGTAATTCACCTATTGGCTTCTGCTGTTGGATAACTGCTAGCTTGTCTTCTCCTTAAAAGTAGCTAGAAGAGCAAGAGGAAATTTAGTTCTAAAAATAATTTTTGTCTGTTACATGCTATCGCTGATCTAAGGATTTGTTTGGGATTTGTGTTTAGTCATAATCTTTTATTTTAATCTCAGCTTTTAAGCATCAGCATTTTGATTCTTGTCAATAAATGTGTGCTATGGTTTGAATTTATTTCTTATCAAGAAGCACGTGGTTACATGGATTAACTTGGATTGTTCTTATCCTACTGAGTCTAATATGGTTTAACAACCTTACAGGCAATGGCAGTTGCAGGACTGGACCCTGAGCAGTGGGAAAATGTTAAGATTTTAATTATGAGTAGTTTTTAGTATGCAAGTTCCCACATGCTGCTCGCTGCAAAGCTCAGGCAAGCTGCTGTTGTGATCTCTCCTGCAAGACTTAGAAAGAGCATGTGTCCTCAGATGGTACCCCATGTGCCTCCCTGCATGTGTCCTTGGATTTCATAAAACTGTAGAACAACTAATTGCTTAATCGTACCATGGAAACATATGATTGCTAAATGATTGTATGATTTTATGATTGAGAAACAGTTCTTTTTCCATAAAGCCCACTCTCATTGGAAGGTTGACTTGATTTGACTTGACCTAACAGATCTGGGGTGTTTGTTGTAGAAGGAAAGCTATCCTGAACAAGACCTTTCTTTCTTTCAGGCCTTATGTTTATGCTTTCTACTCTGAGCAACCAGATGCTGCTGGCCACAGATATGGTCCTTTCAACTCGGAGGTTGGTACAGATTTTCTTCTGCAGAAAAACATGTGTTTGAAATACACTTCCTGGCCCCTCTCCCCCCCTCCCCCCCAC